CTGACTACAGTGAAGTGCCTTCAACATGCACTATTTACACGGAGAGGTGGATCGGAGGACTGACTACAGTGAAGTGCCTTCAACATGCACTATTCACACTGAGAAGTGGATCGGAGGACTGACTACAGTGAAGTGCCTTCAACATGCACTATTCACACTGAGAGGTGGATCGGAGGACGGACTACAGTGAAGTGCCTTCAACATGCACTATTCACACTGAGAGGTGGATCGGAGGACTGACTACAGTGAAGTGCCTTCAACATACACTATTTACACTTAGATACAAAAGATTCGATGATAACAGCAATGGATAAAAGCTGTGCAGATGTGGGTCGGTATCTGTACAAGTCCAGACAAATACAGCGTGTCAACTTCAAGAGTATATTTCAGCAATATCCCCTTCTTATGTACCATTGAATACGTAACTCGAATACAGTTGATACTGCATTCATTAACATAGGAAGGATTATATAAGGTGAACGGTAAGTGTTTTGCTTGTCAACTTATACAAGATTAGCTATACGCTACACATGGTTTCTTTTCTAAATGGGGCAGATTTGTAAGCATCTGTTACAAATGTGACATTGTAAAATTACATTAAAATTAAACCAAAAACAACAATCGCGAAACCTTTACATATGAGAAATAGGCAAGAAAGTATAGATGTCAAATAGCGATTTTATTTGGTTATGTTATGACAATGGAAATATAGAAAGTTATGTTAAAAGCAAACACGACCTCCTGTAACTCAAGGTTTCAGTTCAAAGAAATATTTCTGTGTAAGCCGTCGGTCTTCCCACAGCAAGTACTTTTTATACGTTCACGAAAATAGAAAGTTATGTTGTATCCTGTACAACAAGAAAGCAAGAGAACATGGCGTCATACTGCTGGATGTTACTGTAAGGGTAACGTTATTATAACTAAAATGGATAGAATTTGTAGCTAATTCCAAAATGAACAAAACAACGAACAACGGCATAAGTGTAGTGGCTGTATAAAAAAAACCATAGAGGCTGTCATTGATTTACAAATATAAGATAGCTACGCGATAAATCGCAAAGAACAATGAAGAACGAAACGTGGCTTTTTTTCACCGTGAAACATTGTTCTACCATGACGTCATTCGTGACGTGGAGATTCGAAAATACGATCGCATTGTAAATATTTACATCCTTAAAGTGTCTGTAAAATGTACAATGCTGATATATCATTTAAGATAAAAACGAGTCGTGTTCGTTGTATATCGTACAATAAAACACCACAGGGAGAATACAACAAGAGGATCTGCGCCTCTACAGTGTTTTATTTAAGAGGGGTGGTTGGGTAGCCTAGTGGTTAAAGCGTTTTCTCGTCACGCCGAAGACCCGGGTTCGATTCCCGACATGGGTACAATGTGTGAAGGTTTCCCCCGCCGTGATATTGCTGGAATATTGCTAAAAGCGGCGTAAAACCATACTCACTCACTCACTCTATTTAAGAATTGACTTTCACTTTGTGTGAGTGCATTCAAGTATGAAACTTCATGGAGTGAGTGTTAAACTGTATGAACGTTAAAAGCAAATGTGAAAGTTAGAAGTATTTTATGTCATAAAATTGGAAAAACGAGAAAATGAATATTAAATATGCAACCCATCGGTCTCTCATCCCTTGTGTTCATACTCTGAATCACCAGGGGTTTTAGTTGTTTTCTTGTAAAAGATGCAGCTTTATAAACAGATATAGATACGTATGTGTTTACATCTCATCGGCATGTTTACACTTTGAAGAGAAAAATTATAACCACGAAAACAGTGAATGTGTGTATGGTTTTACGCCGCTTTTAGCAATATTCCAGCAATATCACGGCGGGGAACACCAGAAATGGGCTTCACACATTGCACCCATGTGGGGAATCGAACCCAGGTCTTCGGCGTCACGAGCGATCGCTTTAACCACTAGGCTACCCGACCGCCCCTCTCGCGAAAACAAAGATCAAATAAAGATAAATTCAATGAGCAGATGTATGACATGAAACTGCCGTATTTTATGAGACAGCAGCCGCATTATCAACCTACAGATCCTCGAAACTATTTCCTCATTAAACGGGGGCACGGGTGGCCCAGTCTTCTATGGCGCCGCAATTCGCTGTGCAGAGTTGCGTCCCTTGGGCACGCCAGAAAATATGATTGTGGGTTCGAATCCCGGTTCGCCCCGATTATGTTTCTAGGTTTGTCAGCACCATACCCGTGCTCGTGGGTTTCACCGAAGTGGAAACCGTCTGAGACCTGCATCACTTCGGTCCTTCCACCAGCATAAAGCTGACACGCCGTGATATAACTGGAATACTGACCGTGAAAAGCGGCGTTAAACCCAACTCACTCACTCACTCACTCGGGGCGGTCGGGTAGCCTGGTGGTTAAGCGTTTGCTCGTCACGCCGAAGACCCGGGTTCGAATCCCGACATGGGTACAATGTGTGAAGCCCATTTCTGGTGTCCCCCGCCGTGATATTCCTGGAATATTGCTAGAAGCGGCGTTAAACCAAACTCACTCACTCATTACACAGGTATGCAGGTTTCAGATTTCTAGGTTACGGTGTAAAGTAAAGGCACCTGGACTTCAAGTATGATATACAAGGAAATACATTGATCCATCCTGAAAACGCACATTTAACGACAGTGAGTTGCATGTCGTCTAATTTGATGCAACAGCGACTTATTCCTTTCCATACGTGTTGCACCATTGTGCACTGTAGAGACCTGGCAACTAACGGGATCGGGGGGTCTTGGTTGATGCATGTCATCGTATCCCAATTGCGTGGATCGATGTCAATGATGTCATTCACTGGATTGTCTGGTCCATACTCGATCATTTACAGATCACAGTCATATAGCTGGAATATTGCTTAGTGCGGCGTTAAACAATAAACAATCAAACAACAAAACAGACCTAGCAATTTAGGTGAGGTATATATAAATCAATTTACAAATGTCGTCAAAGACATAAACCAAGCCATGACGTCAAACAAAGGCGTCAGATGTTCAGTAATGTATTATTTACATGATTTGATGATAAGGCTAGTGCTCCATTAAATATGGTGAAACAGTCAAATCACAATGACACGATCAGGTGACTGTGGAATGTAAGGACTATCTACATGTTAGGTAACGTAATGGCTATCCATTTAAATTCCTTTTATATGTAGTACGATTTCAACATTTCATATTATTTGTTGTAATACCTGTAATATAGTTTGTTTCCTGGTGAACAAAAGAATACGGAAATGTGATGTTATCCACAGCAAATTCTCGCAATGTGAGCTGAGAGAAAATGGAATCGATTTTCTTCATTTATCGCAAGCTATTTTTCGTATCGAATGTATTTGTTACAGTAATGTATCATTATTTCGTTAAGATATTAGGCAGGATTCTGCTCTCTCACATTTTCCTTAAAGCTGTTAAATAAAAATTTTCGTCGCACACTACTTTTAGAATATTTGCTGGAATATTGCTAAAAGCGGCGTAAAACCCCATTCACTCACTCACTTATCGGTGTACCATAAATTTGCTGATTTGCTGTTTTTAACCCATAACAAAACATCGGAAAACACGTAGTACTGTCCGTGAAACCAGTTTAATATGTGCAGTTAATGCTACACTATAAGACAGGAAATTTGATATTCTACATCCTTGTGAAATGTTATAGTCGGAGGTAGACCCCGTGCTGCTCTAGTGCGGTTCTTGCACATATTGTTCACTTTTCGGATCTTTAAAAAACGTGCGTCAGAAAAATAACTCGACATACAGTTAACGACATTTCGTCTAGACGTCAAATTGGAAAAGATAAAGGCTTTTTAGAACATGCCTACCCACCCCTATTGTCAAACATAAAAGAAACTTCACAGTATACAACTTCTTTGTGCTTTTGCCTTGGTATTGACGAGGAGATACAGAATGAGATCTCTCACCAGCCAAATCTTGAATACAATCAGCTGATCGAAATCATAATTTTCCAGACTAAGGAAATAGTTTAGCTGTCCCTTACAATATGTTTTTGAGCTGATCCACGTAAACATAATACATCATACAGCCTCACCTACTTGTCATCAACGAATGTTGTGAAAGTCGACATCTGAATATATCTTACACGAAGTTAAAGCCATGCATAGACAATAGTCGCCAACATATATAAGTTTCACTAATGCGCACATTTAACACGAAATTAAATCGAAATTAAAATTGTTGAAATGCAAAATCGTAAGCGGCAGTAAATCCGGTTGTGCATGATTATAAACTACCACATTGTTGTGCATACGCATAGGTAAGTAGCTCCTGTTGTTTTGTGTGAATAACTGATAATATAAGTCAAATAGAGGACTGTTTTTGTTTGGAAACTGTTAATTTACTTAACGCGTATAATATACATGTACTATGCATGAACTATTGAAAAGTATATATATTTTTTAACAGTTATTCACCATTGCTGCCGCTTTTCCTTCATCTGTAGCTTGAGTTTACTGCTAATGATTTTTCCCGTCCTATGTCTTGCATTTACACAAAATAACGTTGACGAGAATATCATCGCCGCGAGTGTGATGGAGTTTCAGGGACTGTATTGCGAAAGATTCCCTACCATAGATAAGAGAGGCCGAATTACACAAATATGATGCACGGAGTCCCAAACAACAAGATGTAAATACCATGAGGTGTTTTAAGAAATACCGTGTTGAGTGAGTGAGTATGGTTTTACGCCGCCTTTAGCAATATTCCAGCAATATCACGGCGGGGGACACCGGAAATGGGCATCACTCATTGTACCCATGTCGGGAATCGAACCCGGGTCTTCGGCGTGACGAGCGAACGCTTTAACCACTAGGCTACCCGACCGCCCCTATACCGTGGATATAAAGCCAGTGGTAACAGAAACACTTCGAAATAATATCGATGGTTATCAGCCGATAATTCGTCGCCTGTCTGCGTTTGTTGTGTTTCATACATACAAAGCGACATCCATTTCAGACTCGTGTTTGTGACTCATCGGGGATAAGCGGGGAAAGTCCACTGTACTTTCGATATACAAAGTATTGTAGACGAGATTGTCATCGCTGCGATTGTGATGGGTTTTCGGAGGGTGCATGTTTCCGAGAAGGTAAGGTCACTGCAAGTGTATCTACACATGATATTGTTGAACCCCCGGTTTTGTAGACTAGATATATCTCTATAGTTGTAAACACCTGTGTGTTTGTGATGAGGAGTCACGCCCCGCAATACTCGTGCGATACTCACGAGATACTGGTGATATACTCATGAAGTACTTATACTATACTAGCATACTGACATTTTCCTAACCCACGAACGGTGGGACTGTATTGCGACAGATGCTCCCGAGATGTAGGTACCATAAGGTGTTTAAAGAAATACATTATTATATACATTTATGTTGATATAAAGGCAGTGGTAACTGGTGTAACAGCGGTATAACGTCTATGTAATGGCGACGAATACTTGTTTGGGGGTTCATGGGATTTATTCCGTCTGTTCATATCAGGGATATGGAGATCCCACCAGGGATGCCATTGTTACAGCACTTTGGTATTGCCTGCTGCCATCATCCGTTGCTAGGATATGCTACAACCTGTCATGTTAGACTAGTTAGTGTAGGTTAATTAGTTTACATATTAGTTGGTCTTGATTAGTTTTCGTGATTAGTTCCTCTTTGTCGTAACTGGTATGTATTAACATGTAAAGTTATTCTTGTTTAGTTTATAAGTTTAGTTTAGTTTAGTTTAGTTTAGGTCAGTTCAATTGTTGAGTTTGATCCAAAATTGTAAACCGGCATACTCCTTAAAAGCGTTTATTGCCGAGTTAGTTTCAGTAATTTATATAGTTAATAGCTTGAAGCTGTATCTGTTAGAATACATTTATCATTAGCAATAATTTATAGCTTACAGCTATAAATGTAATAATGTATTGTACAGTATTTTAGAACACTAAGTCTTGTATGAGTTAGGTGATGATCATGTACATAGTTCTATGAAAGTGTTAGTAAATATGTACTGATGTAGTGCATATGAATATTAGGTTTATATTACTGTGTGTGTGTGCGTGCGTGCGTGTGTGTGTGTGCGTGAATGCGTGTATGTGTGTATGTGTGAGAGAGAGAGAAAGCATGTCTGTATATATATTATATACATTTTACTTAATTATGTCATTTCATTATTAGGCATAGAGGCACATATAAAGCCATACTGTTGGCAGTGATGTGATGAGCCTGCGTCCCTGAGACGAGGTTGGTATTTATGTGCTAATAGTTGTCTGTATATATTGTTATATTTTGATGTCTATTGTATCATATAAATGGGATTTGTAGCTGTAATAAATATACAACTGATGGATGTTCTGACAATACATGCTTAAATTCATGCTCAGGGTAAAAAGTAAATGTAATATGTTTGTTTAATTATACATGTTATAGATTCTCGTAATTGTATAATTCTTATTCAACCTTATATTATGTTTCAGGGAATTATCATCCATAGCCATATTGTGGCGGGATCTCCATATCCCCATCTGAACAAACAGAATAAATCCCATGAAGCCCCCCCAAAAAAATTCGTCGTCATTCCATTGACGTGATACCGCTGTAGCAGGTACAGGTACACTAACGTTATAAGCACATATCATTGTCATAATGCGTCGCATGTCTAAAGCTTCAATCGTTGTCATTGAACAAAGGGTATAAGGAAACTCCATATCGTGAGTGTTCGGGAATATCCACCCGGCGTCTACTTTCGAAATGCGTCGTATTAATGAATAGGACAAAGAATGTGTGCCTCCACTATTTGGAGTCTGAGGTTTGAAAGGGTTACTCGTTGCTTTCATTATACATGCGCTTAATGCATGTAGTAATAGGTCATGCAATAAGTTCTCGTACAGTTCTATATCCGGGAAAGATTTCGCTTTTCGCAATATCCCAGTCATATCACATCGGGGACACTCACAAAGGGCTTCCCACATGACACCCATGAGGCTATCAAGCATTGACCTTTAGCATTACGTGGACAAGACTTCTGTAGGCTTCACCTCTACCCCCAGGTAGGATAAGAGTGAGGATGGTGTTGCATTTTCCGCAGTATTTCAGCAATACCAGAGCAGGGACACCATGAATAGACTTCACACATGAGAGCTTTTAAACACCAAAAAGTATCCTGATATGTTGTATTTATACGATAGTCAAGGAAAGACGGATAATACTAGAACGGGGGCACGGGTGGCCCAGTCGTCTAAGGCGCCGCGATTCGCTGTGCAGAGTTGCGTCCCTTGGGCACACCAGAAACCTATGATTGTGGGTTTGAATCCCGTTTCGCCCCAATTATGTTTCTAGGTGTGTCAGCACCATACCCGTGCTCGTGGGTTTAACCGAAGTGGTAAACGTCTGAGACCTACATCACTCCGGGCTTTCCTCCCACAGTAAGCTGACACGCCGTGATATAACTGGAATACTGTTAAAAGCGGCTTTAAACCCAACTCACTCACTAATATTAGAACAACGTTATTTTCTCTCGGATTCGTTAATGTTTGATGATCACAGTCACCTGGTAGTGTACAATTATAAACTGCAATGTTATTGCAACGTTCGAAAGACAATTTTCAACAAATATGGCACAGATTTTTACGTAATACCTCTAAAATGTCTTACTACTCTCATTTTAAAGTAACGTTAAAGTGTGAGGAGTATGTGTACTGTGTACCCTTGAGTAAATTCCGTTCGTGTTTGTCAAGGTTTAGATGCGGTGCACACTGGATGGAGGTAGAAACTGGTAGAAAACTTAACATCCGTCTTAAAAGAAAGATTTTGCAAAATATGTCAATATGGCCTAATAAAAGAGTTCCCTGCATACACTCACCTACGCCATCTCTATATTCCTTCAAAATATTATCTACACCCAAATGTCCATAAGTTTAATATACTTTCATCTACTATTAATACAAAGCTCAATATTAGTATCGCTAAATATTTATTATTCAAGAAGAACCGTCGCCCAAAATGTGTTTGTACAAAGGGATTTGGCCTGTATAGTACGCAATAAAAACAATGAAGACATTGCATTCAGTTTTAAATAATGTCTCAGCCCAAACATCTTTTCCACATTCACCTAATGATGAAACTCAGGGGAAAGAAAGTATGTAACATTCATGTTGGTTTTTCCAAACCGAAAATGATGTCATCAGTTAATATAACTTTCTTATTAAAGGAAATAAAGACGTTGGATGCTCTCTTAGAGCTAGGTGTACTGCATGAGGATTTCTGATTACATAAAAAGTAAGTACATGTAACTTCCTTATTATGAATGCTATATACATGTGATTTTAGTAAAGGTGTTAGCTTAATGACATCTCTTGACAGTCTTCCCCAAATATTGGTACCGGTGCTGCCAGAAAATGTGTGTACATCTGTTGTAGACCCGTCAAGATCCTGCTTAGAATAGACCTTCAGCAACCCATTCGTGTCGTAAAAGGCGACTATGCTTGTCGTAAGAGGATCGGTTGGTCAGGCTCGCTGACTTTGTTGATGTATGTCACCGTATCCCAATTACGTGGATCGATGCTTATGATGTCAATCACTGGATTGTCTGGTCCAGACTCGATTATTTACAGACCGCCGCCATATAGCTGGAACACCGCTGAGTGCGGCGTTAAACAACAAACAAACAAACAAACAAACATACATCTTTTCTCCATCCCAGTGAAGTCTCCCTTGTTCCTTTCCTCAAGTTAACTATCTTACAGGTCCACTAGTCAAACCCTAATCATTTATTCAGTGAAAACCCCAACTCCCTGACATCATTTCCTTTGAGAGTTACACTCCGCTGATTTCTTCAATGTGGAAATATCGAGCGTAGCATCTTTGACACTGACCCGCATTTTTAAGGGATGATATCCTTCGAGAGTCGTCACCAAAACTGTTCCATCATTCTTATCAATCAATCTTGAGCATCCACACCAATTACCAATCGGTGAAACAGTTTCTTGAAAAAATATAGCTAGATGACGTTAGCCATCTCCCACGTCGCGGGGTTATCCCAAACATGTACAAACCTCTGTGTCCTTGACATAGCAGCCACAAGTTGTACCTTGATGACCTGGGAATTATATCTGTCTCTGGCTACAGTTGCATAACGGTTAACATGCACGCCTGTTGCTCAGCTTAAGACATTTTGCAACACACTGCGACCAGGACGACCGCTGTTGATCTTCCTTCACTATGTTCGTCCCACGCCCTAAGCCGTCGAATCACGTCGGTTACGGTACCGTATAGCGTAACCCGCGGTAAGCACTCTATTTCATGGCTTGCACCTGCTCCAGTCTGGCGGTTGAAAGATAACGTTCACGACCGAAAACACTTCAACTCACAATAACCAGCGACACAGGACTTTGGCTAGTTTACATGTGTGAGCTCGGCCCCATAATGCACTTGTGGAATGTTTCGAGTGACTTGTTTCAACTGAACCAAATTGATATAAACGTTGACATTTAAAACCTAATTATTTTTGCATTTGATTTTGAATAATCTCACAATAATCACGGTAAACTCATGGATAAAAATCATTTATCCTAAAACCATTCATTTTAGTGATGTTCTGTTATGTTTAACGCGTATTTTGTCTCGTAACGTAAGGGTGTAGACATTTAGGTGGAACAGTCCGTCAGTTAGCCCTTTCCGAGGAGGTTCAGTCTACGCCGCCTGAAATAGATACGATTTTAAACCCACCTCCAATAATACTAAACCTTAGTCTTAAATTCGGCATCTAAGAAAAGTACCCACATGAATGAGTGGGTATTGTTTTACGCCGCTTTTGGCAATATTCCAGCAATATCACGGCGGGGAACACACGCAATGGGCTTCACACATTGTACACATATCGGGAATCAAACCCGGGTTTTCGGCGTGACGAGCGAACGCTTTAACCACTAGGCTACCCGACCGCCCGAGCGACCCTCACATGAGGTGAAGTGAAATGGGGTTTAACGTCGCGTCCAAGATTATTGCACTTATATAGCGACGTGCATGTATACATACACCCTATCTAGCTAATGGAAATGTCTATACAGTGTCCCTACCAGTCTGACGGTACTAGAACATTAAAGAAGTTTCCATTACATACTTTCATCGTCCGCGGTATACCGGACCGGAAGCTTACACACCATACTAGCATCTAAATATAGTAACTTCCTGACAAGCACAATGCAATGAGCGTCTACCGAATCTCAACGGAAACAAAGTAACACAGTTACAATCATTGTCAAACAATAAAAAACAAGTACACAGTCGTATGATACACTTACAAATGATTGAACAGTCTCATTAATTTTTTTGCATAATTTACATGTTTCATATTTACATGTTGAGGCAAAATAAAACATTGACTGTTTGGAATGGAAAGTGACTGGTCCTGAGCAGCAAACAGAAAGCCTTCTGTTTCACCTTTTAGACCAGCCGACTTGTTTTCATCATGAGTCTTGACATGCTTCACAAGAAAATTATCAGACAAATAAATGTATGCAAAAGTGCACAATACAATTCTATCATGAAGAGCCCCAAAGTCAATCGAACCACGCCCTCCCAATTTAATTGGTAAATATATGCGATTGAGGAAAGAGCGAGGGTGTTGGGATCTATTATTATTATCCGACATGATTCTTCGTGTGAGGAGGGGCGGTCGGGTAGCCTAGTGGTTAAAGCGTTCGCTCGTCACGCCGAAGACCCAGGTTCGATTCCCGACATGGGTACAATGTGTGAAGCCCATTTCTGGTGTCCCCCGCCGTGATATTGCTGGAATATTGCTAAAAGCGGCGTAACACCTCACTCACTCACTCATTCTTCGTGTGAGGGTGTCAAAACCCTGAATTTTATTGATATTATTACTATTTTCATTATTGTTATTGTTGTTGTTGGTATTATAACGATAATGATTATGATTGTTTCTCTTCTATATAGGCATGCGTGCACCAGTACTGATCCTGGTTTTGCTTATCTGTATATCCTGTTTGAGAGCGGAAGGTAATTAACCTTAAGGAGTTTTGTATTTTGCACGTCTGACAAACTAGTACTCAGATACAAATTAAACATACCAACTATCTGGATATGATAGGATAGTGATAATATATACTACAGTGGAATCATTTAGAGTTGTTGTGGTGTTGTTAAGCCCCGTGTTTACATGACCATTAGGGCGGCCGAGATAAGGAAAGGTTGCAAGTGACCTACAAATACTGGTGAGTTCATAGTGAAGGTCATATTTCTTTTATAAAGTTTGTTTGCTGCTTTCACCAACATGTCGTTTTCTGCAGAAAGTGTTAAGCCTTATGAATGTAGCAGTCATATAATTTGGAAACTTATGTGTGAAAGTGATGACTGGCCACCGTGACCTACTTTCAATAGGTAGCATAGGCTATATCTTAATTTATGTTAAATTATGTGAAGGTCAAGGTCTGCAAACTTGAAGTGCCTAGTACTGTGATAATAGTGTAGCTAGAGGCATGCGACTTCCGATTTTAAGTTGTTTTGCAATTCTGCATTGGGCGGATGTTTTACTGAACCCGAAAGTAATGTCATCGACGTTGTTATTAATGCAGCTTATGGGAGGTTAGACAAAATTAGGGATCATGACGGATTTTCGGGAACAAACTATTTTCAAAATTAAGTTGAACGAATAGGTGTGTTCTAAAACAAATCGTTTGAAGATCTGTGCTTTGTCTTAAGTAATATTGTGTTCCATTACTTGCCCACTGCTTGCTGTATGTTCTTCGAAAATTCACATATATCAAACTGTACAAAATATTGTAGCACAGCATGGTATTACCCCTTCGAAAAACAGATCACTGTGTGAATTGTATGAGCTATTGTTGTGATGAACTATGACTTACGTTCCAGCACTCTCGTACAACTGCTTCTCAGAATTAGACACTCCCCCCTGCGAAGGGTGTAAGACAACTGAGGGGTTGTACGGCGTCAACTGTACTGAGAAGTGCAGTCCTAAATGTCACTCACTCACTCTAATATTGTGTTCCAGGGCACACGACCCACTGCGACCCACCCCATCACCCTCCCCCTTGTGAAAAGTGTGAGGAAAATCAGTGGTACGGCGAGAATTGTACTAAGGCATGCAGTTCGGGATGTTACGAACAACTCTGTAACAAGACGACTGGCAGATGCGAGTCGTGTAAAGCTGGCTACCGCTCTTTTAACTGTACGCTGGAATGTCCACCCAACTGTCTGAATGATCCAGACAAGCCAGCCAAATGTGACCAGAACACAGCACATTGCACCAATTGTCAACCAACATGGTGGGGGTTGAACTGCGCGAACAAATGTGATAGCAACTGTAAGGACGGAGTTTGTGACTTTGAACGTGGACACTGTCACGAATGTAAAGTTGGTGAAAGGGGTGATAAGTGTTCGGAAGATTGTCCGAAGGGATGCTGGCTCAATGAATGTCGCCGAGACAACATGACTTGCACTTGCACCAACGGCACCTGCATCATCAGAAACAGCAACAGCAGCAACAGTGACAGGATTACTGGTACGTACATGAAAAATATAGAACTGTACAGACTAGAAATGTCTATGTATGTTTACTTATCAGTTGATGTTGAAATTACCGTCTTTACTTTTGTAACAGTTATGGTATTAATTTCTAAGTTCTCCTAAGTTTGTCAATTTATAAAGTACCTAATATCCAATCACCAACTGGTTGCTCATGGCGCTACGTATATAAGCAAATGTGATTATGGCATTTAGTCATGTGAGAGAGAGAGAGAGAGAGAGAGAGAGAGAGAGAGAGAGAGAGAGAGAGAGAGAGAGAGAGTGAGTGAGTGAGTGAGTATGGTTTTACGTCGCTTTTAGCAATATTCAAGCAATATCACGGCGGGGGACACCAGAAATGGGCTTCACACATTGTACCCATGTCGGGAATCGAACCCGGGTCTTCGGCGTGACGAGCGAACGCTTTAACCACCAGGCTACCCGACCGCCCCGGAGAGAGAGAGAGAGAGAGAGAGAGAGAGAGAGAGAGAGAGAGAGAGAGAGAGAGATGTTCATCTTTCGTGACTTGTGAATGTATCTATATATCTATCTACCTATCTATCTGCGTGAGTGAGATGAGTGAGGTGTAATGGGGATTAACGTAGCGTTCAAGATTATTTCACTTATATAGCGAAGTGTATGCACTTGTTCGTGTGGCTGCTTGTACAAGTCCGGACTTGAACCGGTTTTATAGTACTAGCCTACTGACTCCGAGTCGGCAAGTGCTTGGTTTATCCCAATAATGTCGAATGCAAGGCAGGAATACAACAAGTACCATATTTTAACGTCTGTAAAAATGACCCGGTCAGGGAATCGAACCAGCGACCTTCCGCTCTCTGGGTAGTGCGAAAGCTTAATGAATTTAAGGAATATTACAAAAGCTGTAAATAAAAGAGAGAAACCCTCCATAATAAATAAGAATGGACACCATTGCACGATTCGTATATATCATAAGCTTGTGTTTATGAACCACTATCAAATAGTGATCATACCAGGTATTCGCGAAAATTTAGGTCTATCGGTGGAAGGGAACTGGCTATTTGACCATTAATGAACGATATCAGATCGATGTACCAGATAGCTGAAATTAAAGATCATGGCCAAGTTCCATTGTTTTGATTTTGCAAATCCGAGCAGAAACACCGATTCATATGCATAAAGAAATAGAGCAGATATGGTAATGTTAAGCTTATCATCTGTGAAAGGCATTAGTCCAGTAAAAATAATAATTAAATATAAATAATGTAATGAATGAAACTATTCTTCTTGTTGCAGGTTCAGATGATCCGATTTCTCAAATAGTGGTGCCTATTGTCCTATCTATTGTGATTGTGCTTGTCGTGTTGGTTATCTGCAAGATCCGATCTAAAATCTTCAGGTAAGACACAGACCGCCAGGTGGTAAACTCTTAATTCTATGCAACACAACGCATGATGAAGCCCACGAAGCATACCCTACATTGAAAGTGAGTGTGTGAGTGAGTACTGTTTGATGCCGCTGCAATTATCACGGCGATTTTGCATTTATAAAAAATGAAAACGTGTTTTGTTTGTATGTTGTAAAACGCGCTCAGCAATATTCCAGCTATATGACGGTGGTCTCTTGACATCATGAGCATCGATCTACGCCTTTGGGATACGAAGACATGCATCAACCAAGTCAGCGAGTCTGGCCACCCGATCCCGTTAGTCGCTCTTACGAACAAGCATAGGTTGCTGCAGACCAATTCTACACTGGTCTTCAAACGTGATAGACTGAGAGGCAATAAAATGCTTTGGACTGAGAGCGTGACAAAAAAAATGTTTATATTATTTTGGTTGTTCGTTATCTAGAGATGTTATTTAATTTTTCTGGTTTGTAATGCAGAAAGTATTATAACTACATGTATTTACTTTGTGATATAGTCAAGAATAAGCAGTTAACACACATGTAAATGATCTCGTTTAGGCTATGTCGACCCTCCAGGCCACTTAGTGACGAAGCTGATACTTGTTTGAGGGTAAGTTATAACACAGTGAGTTAGTGAGTGAGTGAGTTATGTGACACTCCGCTTTTAACACTATAACATTTACAGCGTGTCAGCTCAATGTAGAGGGGGAAGACGTAATGCAGATCTCAGATGTTTACCACTTTGGTATGGGACTGAAAATAATCAACTGGGATTCGGACTTAAGATCACGTCTGGCACGTCTAGGGGAAGCAACTCTGCACAGCGAAAAATTATGAAATATTCTTTATCTCTTTTAGTACAGTTGTAAGTGTTGTTCTGTAATATTTTGACTTATAGTGAGTGAGTGAGTTGGGTTTAACGCCGCTTTTAACAGTATTCCAGTTATATCACAGCGTGTCAGCTTAATGTGGCAGGAAAGCCCGAAGTGATGCAGGTCTCAGACGTTTACCACTTCGGTGAAACCAACGAGCACGGGTATGGTGCTGACAAACCTAGAAACATAATCGGGGCGAACCGGGATTCGAACCCACAATCATAGGTTTATGGCGTTGCCAAGGGACGCAACTCTGCACAGGGAATCGCGGCGCCTTAGACGACTGGGCCACCCGTGCCCCCTTTTGACTTATACGCTTTACCAATATTGCAGATCTGTTATGAAGGAATATTTATTTCTTTTTTTTAAAACAGGCATAAATGACGAAAGATGCTGCTTTCTTGCATATTACTGACAGGTTTGCAAAAAATCGAATGAAAACTAAATCACCTGCATCATGGTGAAATAATGTTAGGGAGACCGGTTGGTATATGCAGGGTGTTTTCTTACTTCATCGTGTTTAAGAGGATGCAGAACGTTTTGGAGACGAGGATGGATGTGAAAGAAGCAAGACTAGTGTTTTCAGCAGCTTGGCGACATCTATATATGAAACATTAGGTCATCTGTCTTTAAGAAGAGTGTTGTTTTCTGCTGAATTTGACGGGTACACGACAACATTGTGTGTTATTGATATATATGTCAATTTGTTTCATTTTTATTTCTCCAATAATATGTAGATGAATATGTTATGGTAATTGTGACTTTTTATTGGCCGTTTTGACCTTTTCTTATTGGTCCTTTTACATTTCTTGTTGGCCGTTTTTCATCATGTCCGTTGTCACGTGGCCATGTGTTGTTACTTCAATTTAGTTGTTATAAAAACTTCCAGATTTTGTATGACATAATTATAATATATATATAAGTTTCTGAATGCACATCTGGCAGCCAAAACATGCCTTGTGTCCGCTTTAACCCGTCTCCACTGTTTCGGAAGTGTGTTATTATATACAGCGTCATACTGACCGTTACCTCATAAAGAAAAGTACGTTTTTTAGTGTGAGTGAGTTGGGTTTAACGCCGCTTTTAACAGTATTCCAGTTATATCGCGGCGTGTCAGCTTAATGTGGGAGGAAAGCCCGAAGTGATGCAGGTCTCAGACGTTTTATACGGGTATGGTGCTGGCAAACCTAGAAACATAATCGGGGCGAACCGGGAATCGAACCCACAATCATAGGTTTCTAGCGTGGCCAAGTGACGCAACTCTGCACAGCGCCTTTGACGACTGGGCCACCCGTGACCCCCGTAAGTTTGATGCTGTATGCTCATGGTTCCTAGGTGTATGGACATGTTGAAGACGCGCAACTGTTTGTTAAAGTGTGTAGTACTGTGTGATTAAGCTGCAGTAAATCATATGAAAATGATAACATAGAAGTGAACGACACTATTTATAGGTCTCTTTAATTGCATATCTGGCTTGTTTACATTTGATAAGTGTTATGCAAGTGAATGTGAAAAAATTATTGATGTATTATCTGTGGTTTTAGCGCTAGCTACAGCTTGGGGCTTTAACTCGAAGATAATGTACACTGAAACATCATTTGTTCGTGAACGTTGAGCATCTTCTACCAAGAACCATGAGCATCTGTATATTTAAGTATCAATGAGCATATTTCTCAAAATCTTAGGGTGACCTTGTGGTGATTCCAGGTGAGTTGGCAACTTGCCCAACTCAATAAATGATCAATATATCATTCTATTGCTGTCGTAAAAGGCATATCTGGCTTGTTTGCATTTGAAAATGTGAATTATATAGTGATGTATTTAGATCTTGGTGATAGTAGATACAATGCTAGTATACATATTGGACGGATTAGTGTGTGTATTAACTAAGATATTGAAAAGACAACCATACGGTTTGTTTCTGATTCAAGAAGAATGAGTACACATCTCCCTGATACGGATCCATTTTCTACATTCAGAAGGTAATTATTATTGGCTGTTTTCAGTTATTGAATATCGCATTCCTCGTCATTGTGGGTTAGTTTGATTGATAGATATGTTTATTTGTTTGTTCCTTTCTTTCATTTTCAAAAGAAAGTAGAAATTGTGTGCATACAACTTTCTTGTACTAATGAGTGAGTGAGTGAGTTGGGTTTAACGCCGCTTTTAACAGTATTCCAGTTATATCACGGCGTGTCAGCTTAATGTGGGAGGAAAGCCCGAAGTGATGCAGGTCTCAGACGTTTACCACTTCGGTGAAACCCACGAGCACGGGTAAGGTGCTGACGAACCTAGAAACATAATTGGGGTGAACCGGGATTCGAACCCACAATCATAGGTTTCTGGCGTGCCCAAGGGCCGCAACTCTGCACAGCGAATCGCGGCGCCTTAGACGACTGGGCCACCCGTGCCCCCCTCTTGTACTAATGGGTAGCCGATATTTGAATTGCTTCAGTTTATGTGTAAACAAATTGTGCAAGCAATTGAGATTTCTTCATATGATAGCAAGATAATCAATCGTCCACCCTGCAGTTAGTAGTTATTATTTCGAATTTTTCTTAGTCATATTTATTTAAATTAGTAGTGTATACAAAATCTCAAAAACAGTTCTAAAGATCGTCGAGACAAAAATTAATCCTATTTTGTTGTATGGAGCTGAGATATGGGGTATTGAAAGAGTGCAGGCCTTTGTACATCTTTTGGAAGTTTTACAGATTATTACGCCAAATGCAGTTGTGTATGGTGTATGTGGTAGATTTTCATTATTTATATATGCACAGGTTGTAGTTATAAAGTATATCCTCATTTCAACATTTTCTTGACATGATCACTTAAAGACTAAAGGGTGTGGATATACAGAAACTCGGCACAATTATAGTCACCAAAATATAAATTTATATGTTATGTATAAAACGCAATTTATAACTGAGGAATATCTTTTGAAGCCTCTTTTACCAAAAATAGAACATCTTTTTCTCGAATAAGATGCTCATCGCATACTCTTAACATTGTACAGGGAAGATACACACAAATGTTAAAAAAGAGTGAGTGGGTGAGTTTGGTTTTACGCCGCAGTTAGCAATACTCCAGCAATATCACGGCGGGGGACATCACAAATGGGCTTCACACATTGTACCCATGTCTGGATTCGAACCCGTGTCATCGGCGTGACGAGCGAACGATTTAACCACTAGGCTCCCCGACCGCCCCGTTAAAAGAACAATAGAATTTGTAATTGTGCAATCTGCAGGAAGTAGAACATGAGTACCACCTTTTAATTGTATTTCCAGTATATGATTATTTGAGTATTGAATATTAATCGCCACATATGTACCAGCCACCGAACATCTACCGAAAATATCAACGTGTAATAACGTGACATCGTATGTATTTCATGCAATGAATGATAGAAAATGTACGTTAAAGGATTAATTACTAATATGTATACTACACTGTCCATGCAATGTATAAATGTAAAACAAAACTGACTAATTAGTAAAGTCTACTTACACGTTCGTATCTGAGTGTACAGTGAAATTCACTAGGTTTTACAAACTATTTCAGGGGGCACGGGTGGCCCAGTCGTCTAAGGCGCCGCGATTCGCTGTGCAGAGTTGCGTCCCTTGGGCACACCAGAGACCTATGATTGTGGGTTCGAATCGAATTTCACAATATTCCAGTTATATCGCGGCGTGTTAGCTTAATGTGGGAGGAAAGCCCGAAGTGATGCAGGTCTCAGACGTTTACCACTTCGGTGAAACCCACGAGCACGGGTATGGTGCTGACAAACCTAGAAACATAATCGGGGCGAACCGGGATTCGAACCCACAATCATAGGTTTCTGGCGTGCCCAAGATTAAGGATTAAGGTCTCCGATACATTGATTGTTGTGCAAACACAATGAAATATATTCGAAAAACATACCGACTCCTCGGGTGTTAAAAGAAAACATGAACAAAACAAATATTGTATTTAAGAGAGGTGGTCGCTTAAGACTGAAGTCTGTTATAACAAAGGCGAAATATACTCTTCAAAATAAGTGGGGGATCATGTTCTATTAATGTTATGATCGGTCGTCAGAAGAAACATCAGCCTTGAAAAAATCGTCTCTGCTTGTGGGTAGGGGTTGTCTTGATTTTGAAAGTTCAGTGAAAGGACGTGAACTCGCTCATAATTATTGATTTTCGTTATCCGCAGTAAGACATAAGCTCTCTACTCCTGCTTAAATGCAGTATCTGTGATCAGATTGGGAATACGTCGTCCACAACGCGATAAGCGCTTTAAGAAATCGAGCCCAAACAAACAAACCACTTGCGCCAGGCTACCGGAGTTAAAGGTATTAACCAGACGATAAGAAATCATTTGCATGCAGCCATGCTGCTAGACAAGCACATGTGCTACCTACGTTAATAAATCGACACATTCTAGCCAGACGCCAATGATGTCAAGAGCGTAGACACAGGGGGAATCATCGATAGTCTCGTGTAATGTTTTCAGATGGGTCAAGATTCACTTTAGATTTTATGGATTGGCGTGTACGTGTCTGATGGCAAGTTCACACGGAAATTAACCTATTTTTCTTGTACTTTTTCCACATTAAAAGTGTTAACCTAGAAGTGTCACAGACAAAAATATAAAAATATCACAATTAATTAACATATTTTTCGCATTAAAAAGATTTATATTTTTCACATTTACCAAGTGTTCTATTTCCACAACAAAAATACCATGGCTTATGCCCCTTGCAATATGACGTCATTGGTGCCAATTGATAAACATTATGACGTCATCATCCTTTGTTAGAGTCGCTTCACGTGGTGTAGGTCTAGGTGTGTGATTCTAGCGTCTCAGATGCCAGCAAGCATAGTGTTATGCTGAGTCATCACTGCGCCGGAGTGTGTCGTAGGCCATGTTGTTTTACCGCAAACTGGTACTTGATATCTTTTGCGTTGAGAATAGACAGGGACCCAGTTAATTGGCACCAATTACGTCATAATCTAAGGGGGATAACTCAGGCCTGTTTAGCTCGAAAAACGAAGGCCTCATAACGGCATATCATTTTCACACTATTGTGAGCTTCCTACTTTCACTGTGAAAAAAATGAGTATATATTTTCAAACACAGATACTAATTAATTCTAAAATTGCGTTTTGTTTAGAAAAAGAAAGAAAGTGATTTTTGCGTGTACACTTCCCCTTTAAGAACGTCAACGTTAAGCTACATGGCAGTGTTCCTGCTGTGCGACGGCGCACTGTACACAAACCAGGCAATCACGTGACACGATAGTAAATTTACTGATTTTGTTGAAACTTATAAAGCGATATGTTAATTTTGAATTACGTCTGCTGTGTATAAGAGCAGATAAGAACAGTATATTCGCTTTGCAAACGACTAGTGGGGGTCGGTGGCAGTTTTAATGTCTCGACCCAAATATTTCTGGTGTTGGTTGGTTGGTAAGTTTGTCGTTTTACGACGCACTCAGCAATATTCCAGCTATATGACGGCGGTCTGTAAATAAACGATTATGGACCAGACAATCCAGTGATTGATATCATGAGCATCGATCCACGCAAATTGGATCGATGACATGCTTGAACGAAGTCAGAGAGCCTGAACACCCGATCCCGTTAGTCGCCTCTAACGACAAGCATAGTCGCCTTTTACGGCAAGAATGGGTTGCTGAATACCTATCCTACCCCGGATCTTCACGGGTCATTTCTGTTGTAGTGGACTCAGCATATCAGCATAGAGAAATGCTAGTGAGCTTGTGATGAAATTTGGGGACTTCAGCCCACCCTCAGAACACCGTCCCAGTTCAAGTAAATATAAATTGTCAATACAACACACAAGGGCCGGGTACAAAGCATGAACATGACTAGTTATAAAGAAAGCAAAGGGTATAATCCACGAGTTTTAAACTTCGGATATATACAATATAAGAAAAATATTGTTATTTTAAGACCTAGAGAGGATATGCATATCATTTTGGCTAGAACATTTTGTAACATGACTAAATACTATACATATATCATATTTTTTGTCCTTTTAAAGTATACAATATCAGATTGTTTTTATGTTGATATTATGCAATATCAGTTTGTTGTCATGTAAATTGTATATTGTATGCAATTTCAGATCGTGTCATGTTAATAGTATACATTATCAGATTGTGTCCTGTTGATAGTATACAATATCAGATTGTGTCATGTTATTTGTATACAATATCATATCGTGTCATGTTAATAGTATACATTATCAGATTGTGTCCTGTTGATAGTATACCATATCAGATTGTATCATGTTAATAGTATACAATTAGGAGATAGACATGCTGTGTTTTCAATGTAGAGCTAGGTTAACTTCTTTGAGTGGCATTTAGAAGTTGGTGTGATGAAGTAAGACGAGTTCTATGGATGAACAAATTCTTTATTACAATTAGTGCGACGTTTCGGTGTAGATCCTAACACCTTTATCAAGCAAGTGATGAAGGTTACCTATAGATTTAACCCCGCCAAAATTGAATTTGGAACCGAATGCGCAGCTTGAGGTTTCAAATGTTAAATTTAGCGCGGTTAAATCTACAGGTAACCTAGCCCTACATTGAAGACACAGTATGTTTATCTCCATTCTACCATTACTAAATAAAACGCGAACTCTTTGTGTTAACATATATACTGAGTGAAGCGGCATGGGTTGAGTTCAGTGTCGTGAGTGGGTTATCGATCTGAATTACGGAATCACCGAACAAAATATGGCGCTGTATATACTCAAGCAGTTTGTTTACACCGTTATACTTCACTCGAAAATATGACAGGCATTGAAGGCATATGAGCACGGCAGCTTGGTAAGCTAACATGAGGTGGGCATCCCTAAAGAAAACAAAGCAAGCTTTGCAAGGCTTTCGCTCTACATCGCACGTCACCATTATGACGTCATATCGGTCATTGTGACGCAAAAGATATGACGTCACAGTCGTATATAGAAAAGCGCCAAAATGCCAAGATCTCTGTTGTCTTCAAAAAGTAAATACATTCCATTTGTAGATTTCTGTCGTGTTTACTGCACGAAATGTATTGCAACACATCCTTTGAATATTTTAGTAACCGCATCTGTGCTTGTTGTAACCTGCAATTGCAGATATAATTATTAAAATATCCCTACCGACAATGACTGAAAATAGTACTATTCTATGAATATTAGCTTCCGCGGTGATGCCGCCGTCAAACCAGCTGTTTCAGGGGG